GCGGCAGCCCAGGAGGGTGAGCAGGCGGAGGGCGCCGCGCTGGAGGCGCTGGCGGCGCGCGGGGCCGGCGGTGTCCAGCAGGAACACGGCGCTGTGCGAGCACGACATGGCGCGGGCCCCTCACGCCGCCGCCGCCATCGCCCGCCGGTACGGCCACTCGCGCCCTCGCCTAGCGCGGGCCCCCATTGGCTGCCGCCGAGCGCCGGCCACGTCCACTCCCCGCATCTCCCTCTCCCATTGGCGGAGAACGGGGAGCGGGAGGGCGGAGCAGTGGGGCGGCCGGAGGGCTGCCCGCTGCTGATTGGCCAGCCGCGCGGAGAGCGCTGCCATCCCATTGGCGGGAGGCAGTGACGGAGAGGGCGTGGCCAGCGCGAAGACCGAACCGATTGGGCGCCGCCACCGGTTTAAAATTTAAAGCCGGCGGGGCGCGCGTCGCGGTGACGTCACTCAGTGTGCGGTGTGACGTCACTCAGTGTGCGGTGTGACGTCACTCAGTGTGCGGTGTGACGTCAGCAGGGCAGGGCGGCGGTGCTCGCCGGGCACAGCGGGGTCCCCGAGCGGGACCCGGGGCTGAGCAGCGACTCCGACCTGGCCCTGCCCGCCCCGCACCCGGCAGGCTCCTCCGGTGCCGCTAGAGGACCGCGGCTGCCCGCGGACCGGCACCTCCCCATCCCCGCCACCGCCCGCGGGCAGCAGGGACGGGGACAACGCTGGCAGAGCCTGCCCGGAGGGTGCTGCCGACGCGGCATCCTCCTTCCCGAGCCTCCCTGGGACAGCCCAGGGCTCGTTCGGGTGAAATTCAGATTCAAATTCAGATTATATATTAAAAAAAAAATAATTACTGTTCGGGTGGTCAGGCATTGAAACAGATTGGGCAGGGAAGTGGTGGAGTCACCATCCCTGGAGGTGTCCAGGAGGCATCTGGATGTGGCGCTGGGTGACGTGGTTTAGGGGTTACAGTGATAATGCTCTTTTGATGGCTAGACTTGATTGGAAAGGCCTCTTCCAACCTTGACGATTCTATGCAAAGGTGTAGGGTCAGGGCACCTGGACAGGATGCTGGCAGAGGACAAAGACCCTGGGCTGCCATCAGCTGCCTTGCCCAGGAGCAGCCCCTCCCTGCAGGGCTTGAAGCGTGTCTGTCCCCGTGGTGTCAGTGGTCACAGTGGGTAACAGCAGAGGAATCCCCACAGAGCATCCCCAAACCAGTGTCTGCTCCACCGTCGCCTCCAGAGCCTGAACAGCCCAGCCCAAACCAGTGTCTCCAGAACCAGTGGTATTTATAGAGCAACAAAGACAAGGGGCACGAAAGGGCCCGTTTGGCTCTGTGGTGACTGTGAACACAAGTGGCTTTAATGAGCTGGAACCAGGAGCGGATGCACTCGGCTGGGCAGGAGTAACCTGCCACCAAGAGCAAGAGAAGGACACCAGGTGTCCCTGGGAAAGTGCAGAGGGCAGCCTGCAGCCTCGGGGATGTGGGCTCCCTTCTCCTGGCCAGGGCTGGCATCTCTTGACATCTCTCTGCTGTTTGAGCCCTGAGAAGAAGCCAGCCACACCATGTCACTGCTGTTGTCCAGCCACTGGCATCTGTCCCAGCAGTCTGCTGAGGACACTTAGCAGAGTGTGACCAAAACCTGCCTTATCACAGTCCCCCTGGACCCGAAACAAACCCAGGGCAAAGGGCAGTTTCCCAGGAAAGCCTGACAGCTTCCAACACAGGAACTGCTGCTAGCTACTCAAACCCCTTCTCCTTTCCTGCCCACCTCAGTGGATTTGCTCTGCAAGCCTATCCAGCAGAGGTGGATAGGCCGGCAGAGGTGTTGGCTGAGCCCAGGTGACACTGTTTCCCAGTGTGACAGCCAGAGTTGCTCACACCCCTGCTTCTTGTGCTGTCCCATGTTCGTGCTGCTTTCACAGACATTTGCCCTCTCTGTCTGCGCCACAAGGACACCGACTTCCCTCTCAAACAGTCCTTGGGTGCTTTCTGGACAATCATTTACTTGCTGGTAAATGCTGTTTCTTGGGAGGAAGGAGAGGGCGCAAGAAAAATACTTTGTGAATTTGGCTCATGTGTGGTTGTCACTTTGATCCAGATGAATTTTCTTATTTAGCTTAAAAAAGTCTTGCTTTATTTTGTTCTGTTCCCAACATTTATCTCCAAGGGATACTTAATGGTGGGGGCTGAAAAAAAATGATGAGAAAGCCCAGACCTAAGTGAACTGTTTGATCTCCCCTCATAGCACCACTCTGTCCTGCCCTGGTGGAAAGTTTGTTTGCCTTTCTGCTGAGCCAGCCTGGAAAAAAGTTTTGTTTTGTATTGACTCAGATGCTTTGCTTTCAGGTCACTCCTCAAGGACCTGCACAAGCAACAAGTCACCTTTGATATTGGGCAATGCCCAGAGTCTCACTTGTGCTACATCAAGGCTTCCAGGACTCCCCAAATCCTCATTTTCCAGTGCCTTCTCCACCCCATGTGCCCAAAGGCTCCTGGTAGTGGCTGCTTTGAGCACTGATTCTGGGGAGCACCCATTCCCTGCTATCCAGGGTGAAGCTGCCCCAAGGCCTCCAGGCAAGAGGGAGGGATTTCTGTGCTTTAGATTTTGTCTCTACATCTTTCAAACATATTTAGTGCTCATAAAAGTGAGAAACTGGGAGAGACCCAGCTGGGACCAGTACTGAACAACCCTCACCCAAGGTAACTGAGATCTGGACACTGCCAGACCTGGTCCCACATCTCTTGAGCAGAAAGACAAATGTTCCTTCTCCCCCAGCATCATCCCAGAGATTTTCTGGAGAAACCTTGCAGCTCTTATGGGTGCTGGACATGATGGGTGAAATTCTGTGGTGGAGCAAGAGGACACCAGCCTGAAGTTTCCAACAGGACATTTAAGCACCCTGATATTTGTGACTGAGGCATGGTGACACCTGCCCTGTGTGTCCTACCAGCCTTGTAGGGTGGGTACAGTGGTGGTCTAACCCATCATAGGATGTGCCCTGCCAGCACTGCTGCAGACACATGTGTTGGCATAACCCCCTCAGCCTTCCCAGTGCTATCCTGGCCCTGGAAAGGAGCCTGGAGAGAAACTGGTCCTTTAATGGGCTCTCAACACACAGACAGCCAGTGGAGCATGCCAGCCCTGATGGGGCTGCAGTGACAAAGTGCTGATCTGCAGGTTGATAAGGAGGGGCAGTGCAGCAAGGTGAGACTATCAGGCCAGCAGAAAAGCCATTAGCCTTTGTTCCTGGCCTCCACACGTGGGAAGAGGGGCTAGGGACAGCAAGTGGGACAAAACTGCTGCCTCTGGGGTCTGCACAAGGGCTTTGCAAGCTGCTTTTCTGGAAACCCTGCCATTTCAGTGATGGCATAGATTAGAAAAGCTCTGCAGTTACTCTTTTGCTAGAGCAATCACAAAGTATAGCTGCTGGTGGCTACAATCCCTAAGCAAGTTCCCTTTTGTTTTAAAATGCTCCTCTGTGCTGCCTTTTTGAGGTGTCTAAAGGCTGCTCTAGGGCAGGGCACAATACCAGTCCTACCACGTAGCTGGCACCAGAACAGGCAACTGTCAACAGTGTTCCAGCAATTAGAGATCGAGTATTGTCTGGGGATTTCAGCTTCCTTCTAGCTGGAGATCCTTTGTATCCTGGTGTGCACAGCCCTGCAGACACCCTGTGTAATGGGAGACCCAAAACCACACCCTGAGCAGCATTGCTCGAGGGGGAGCTCGTCCTTCAGACAACAGCAAAATCCCTTTGCTTTAGGTGTCCCCAGAAAGTGACCCCAGTCACATGGAGCTCTGCTCGTGCAGGGTGAGGGCTAAGGCAGATGGGCTTCTCTCTTTTTTCAGCACTGTCTCTATCCTGCTGCCTGCACGGGTTCAAATGAGGTTGGAGGATGATTTTGTGTGGCCGTCAGTCTCTTCAAGACCATCCACAGCATTTTTCTGCCATCTGTCATTTTGAGAAGAAAAGCACACAAGAAAAAATAATAAACTCAAATTATTGCCTAATCAACACCAAAATCAGTGCTGCTTGCTCAGCCTGCGGGCCACAATTAGATGCCATCAGCAAATTTGGGCAGCTTGCCTGGGCTGCAGTCTTTCATCTCTGGAAGACTGACAGGCAAACCAGGGATCTGCAGGCAGAGGAAGGAGCTGGGATCCGTTTGAAGGACGTGCCTGGCTCTTTGGGGAAAGAGCACATAATTCAAAACAGTAGGAAAAATGGACTTTTGTGCTTATGTTTGTTAATTAAAGGAAAACCATACCAGAGGAGGGGCTGTTTAGGCCTCCAGCACCATCTCACAGTACTGCCCTGGTTCTGCAGCCCCAGCTCAGTTTGCCTTGCCAGGAGGATGCTCTGGGTAAATCACTTTGGGAAATGATGGAACACGTGTCACTTGAACATCCTTACAGCCTTGGCAGGGCCATCACGTGTCTCTGCATTCATGGAGGATCTCAGTGCCTGGTTTGAAGCCCGCACCTTCCTCTTCCTCCTGTTCTGCACCTCAGCTGCTTTTCCAAAAGCCAAGAGCTGGAGCAAAGGGCAGTGCCTTCACCCACAGTGCCAGCTGGGGAAGGGGATCTCAGAGCTGGGGAGGGGGTGAGGGGAGCACCCAGAGCCGGGAGGGAGGGGACAGTGGGATGAAGGTGCTCCTGACAGGGGCAGGGAAGGGGTGTGGGACTGGGCAGAGCAGGGGGCTGGACACTCTGAGTCATACTGGCCTCCACCTCTGCTGGTCCCCGTGGAGGCAGGGCTCAGAGGTGCTCGGAGCAGCTCAGAGGAAAGGTGTTGAGGCTGTCCCTCCTCCCAGGGAGGAAGGTGGGTTAGAGGAACAACCCTGCTGAAGCTCCAGTGCTCTGAAACGTGATCCTGCCGGAGGCACCTCCCTGGGCCCCACCTCGCCCTCCCTGACCTATATATGTGCCCGGCCCTGGGCGGCGCGGGGGCCGCGGCTCGCTCAGCCCCCGGAGCCCCTGCGCAGGGACAGGGAGCGCCAGGGCATGGCCAAGAACACCAACATGCGCTGGCGGCTGCCGCTGGTGTGCCTGCTCTGGGAGCTGGCCATGATTGTCCTCTTCGGGGTCTTCGTGCGCTTCGGCGCCGAAGCTGATGCGCACTGGGAGGAGGAGAAACAGGGCATGAACCTGACCAGTGACATGGAGAACGACTTCTACTTCCGATACCCCTGTGAGTATTCTGGGAGCCTAATCCTTGTGCTGGCTGCTCCCCATCCCATCCCATCCCATCCCATCCCATCCCATCCCACCCCATCCCATCCCATCCCATCCCATCCCATCCCATCCCATCCCATCCCATCCCATCCCATCCCATCCCATCCCATCCCATCCCATCCCATCCCATCCCATCCCACCCCATCCCATCCCATCCCATCCCATCCCATCCCATCCCACCCATCCCGTTCTGTCCCATCCATCCTATCCTGTGCTGTGGCAGAGCCTGTCAGAAGTGCTGTCTCCACCAATTGCTAACAGGTTGTGCTCTTGCCTCGAGGCTGGCTTGGGGTTCACCAAAGAGCCAGAGAAAAGCCTCATGGCCCTCTGATGCCCTGGGGCTCTGTCAGCAGGGTACTGTGACGTCTTTTCTCCAGGAATAGGGCTGACGTGTTCCCAACACTCTGCAAGTTTCAGCTCTCTGCCCCCTCCCTCAGCTTTGGATCAGAGCAAGCCTTTCTGTGCACACAGAGGAACGGCTGTCGAGATCCTGTGACATCTTCCTCCTCTTCCTCTGTCCACCCCCTCACTTGTGAATTACCCTTTAGCTACTGGTATTTCAGTGCCAGAGTCCTCCTGAGCTGCCAGGTTCCCAGGGTTCTTGGGTTCTGCATCACAGTGACACAGAAATTATTCAGAAGGTTAAAGCTCTTCTGGCCAGCCAGTGCCTCTGGGTGGCTTTGATCTCCAGGGCTGGTCATCTTTGTGAGCCTTTCAGAACATGCTGCTTCTGTAGGCAATTGTTTCCAAGGAAGCAACAGGCCTGAGTCATGCATCTATTTAGAACATTTCCATTAAAAACACCTGCTAAATCAAAGGAGCTATAGCAACCTGTGGCTGCTGAGGATTAGCTAGTGGAGAGAAGGATTTGCTTACAGAAACCCGCTGCTCAGTCAGCCTCCAGGTTCATGTACGGTCGTGGCTGCCCTGGGCTCTCCCTGGGCATCTGCCCTTGGGACCGGCCCCACACAGGTTGGTGTGAAGCAGCAGCAGTGCCTGAGGGCTGCTCTTGTCACTGGTGTGCTGGGAGGACATCAGGAAAGAGTGTGTAGGAGCTAAGGAAGTGACATCTCTTCTGTCCTCATATCCCACTCCTGCTCTGCAGTGCCAAATATTCCCCCTCAAATGGCAAGATGGATTCAACACAACTAAATCAAGCTAAGGGCAGCTGCTCAGTTTAGCTTTGAATTACGTTTCTGTTTCAGGCCTGAGGAAGAGCTCACGTGCCCAAAAGCACAGCTGTTCTTTCTCCCTTATCTAATCAGAAATTTTCTCTCTCTGCAAAGATGGACAAACATGACAAGGTGGCCAAGCCTTGGAATTTTAATCCTGGTGTCCATCCAGTGCTGCTCAGAAGACTGTGGTGTTTGATCACCCGAAGATCATTTGCACCAACATGTCTGTGACCACTGCTGTCCCCAGCACATGTCTGCAGTGGCAGAGGGATGAGTGACAAATGAACAGGTCCTTCAAGCCAGCAAAGATTGGGAAGGCAGGCAGAGGGAAGCTGCCCTGGTTTCAGGAAGCCAATATGTGGTTGTGTCAATGGTGCCCATTGCCAGGTCCAGTCAGTGAGACAATTCCTTCTCATTTTGGATTGCACATGGATATTTTGTAATCAGTGACTCATCTGCTCTCTAGAGGAAAAGAAATGAGATTTGTTTGTCCCCAAGAGCATTCCCAAAACCCAAACACTTATTCTTGATAGTTATGGCTATTGTCCTGCCACAAAAGCAGGCTTACAAAATCTGTAGGGCATGGCAATGCCTGTATTGCCTCTGAATGATAACAATGTTATTCTTACTAAGAGAAAACAAAGGCAAGGGTTAGAAAAAGGTCTTAGATTGGGTGCGGTTCAAAGAAAGATCTGCTCTTCCTCCTGAGTTCATACAGGGTCTAACACACAATGGGATCCTCTGGGTTTTGGGAAGGCATGCAGTTCACAGCTTTAACTCTGACCTGTGTATTTCTGCTTTTAGGATGAGAGGATGAATGTATGATGCAAATGGCAGCAGATAAATCTAGCTGTGTATTGTGCTGCTTACACTGAAAAGAGAGAGAGGAAACAAATACAGCTGCAGAGGGAAGGTCTATGGGATTGTGTGGTAAAACCACAGTAACTAAGATTGGTTCTTAGGACATGTGGAGAAGTGCTTTGGAAGTGACCTCTGCTGAACAGTGCCAGCTGCAGATCTCGTCTCCTTCCTATTTAAAGAGTGATTTCATAGGGGGGACATCTTTTAAAAGCAATCAGATTAGCATGGCACTACATGGCGTAAGCCTGTCCAAATGCTCATCCTTAAGTTGCAAGGTCTTCTAAAGCACAAAAGGACAAAACTCCCAGCTTCTGCAGAGCTGCACTTCACACAACTCTTCACCAGGCTTCAGGGGAAGTAGCAGACACAAGCCCTGTGGAAATGCACCAGGAGCTGATGGATTTCAGCACAGTTTCAGGGTAGAGCAGACTTGCAGCCCCAGAATTTCCTTTGCCCTGAGCTTACACCCTCTCTGAGTGCACAGACTTTGCTGGATGTAGTGGCTATAATGATTTCTGCACTGCAGAATGCAGAATATTCTGGTTTAGCCCCCTCAGTGCTGTATTTATCTGCTCTGCAGCATGGTTTTGCTGGCAGGAGTCTCCCAAGGGGGATCCCAGCCTTGGGTCTCCTGTTCTTTCCATTGGCTGAGTGGCCTGCAGTGTTAGGGTTTGCATGGTTCAATTTGTAAGTATGCAAGCGTTTCAGCTCACTTAATTGCAAAGGAATGCTTATCTGATAGAAAGGTGCAGCATTAAAAAGTACAGCAGGTTTACTGCACCAAGAAGGTCTTTCAAGAGGCTCACACAGATCTGGTTTCCCCCGGGGGAAGGGCATCTGAGGGGCTCAGGTGAGCAGCTCTGACCATTAGTGGGAAGAACTGGGTCTCTCTGGTTTGAGCACTAAAAATCTCACACGGTGGGGTTCTGCTCTCAAGGGTATTTTGCCGCTGATTTCCAAAGCATTTAAAAATGTATTTGTAAACTTTCCTCGTTCTTGTGCTCTCCTTGCTCTGAGCCATCACCAGGACCCTGCACTGAATGGACCTACCCAAAATGGCCATTTATGTGTTTTAACAAAACTTTACTGTTCATTTCACGTGATGGTTTTGAGTTTTTCACAAAAGGAGAAAAAACAATCTGAATAGAAAAACGTTTTCCTTTGTACACTCCATTACTCTCAGGTCTTCTTTTGCACACAGCTTTTAGTAAACATTTACTTTAAAGGCCGAGCCTTTTAACCAAAAGCCAATTTCTAAAAGCTGAGCCATTTTCAGACTTAGAAACATGGGGACATGAGGCAAACACACATTTTCTCTTGAATTTCCCCCCTACTGCTACTAATGTAATTAGTTTCTTTTCAAGACCAAATGCACGGGGCACTTGCAGCCCTGCTGTCCTGGCAGAGCTGACACTCCCTTCCCTCTGCACAGCTTTCCAGGATGTCCATGTGATGATCTTTGTGGGCTTTGGCTTCCTCATGACCTTCCTCAAGCGCTATGGATTTGGAGCTGTGGGTTTCAATTTCCTCCTTGCTGCCTTTGGGATCCAGTGGGCTCTCCTGATGCAAGGCTGGTTCCACTCTTTCAAGGATGGGAAGATCCTCATTGGAGTGGAGAAGTAAGGAGGAGTTGGGCTCTGGGATGGCACCTCTGGCCTGGCCAGTGGAAGAGCTGGAATGAGAGCCAAGCAGTTGGCAGCACCTGTATGTCAGTGCTGGGAACACGTATCATCCACATTACCTGAATAATGTGGGGGTGTGAGGATGGGAGGAAGGTCAGTGGGAAATCTAGGGATGTCTCCTAATCACTTCTTTTTCCTCAGGTGGGATCTCTAGAGCTGGGGGTGGGTAAGAGTGATTTACAGAGAAGTTTTTCCTTATTAAACCACAATTTTCCTTCCCTTTTTCCAGCCTGATCAATGCTGATTTCTGCGTGGGCTCTGTGTGCATCGCCTTTGGGGCCATCCTGGGAAAAACCAGCCCCATACAGCTCCTTGTCATGACTTTGTTTCAAGTCACACTCTTTTCAGTGAATGAGTACATCCTCCTCAACCTTCTTCATGTAAGGCTTTAGGTAGTATCTGCTTTGTTCTGCTCCTCCCTCCCTGCCCCTCTCCAAACTGTCTCCCTTTACTATGGCCCCACCAAGCCACTGCCTTCATGAGCATTAAAAATGCAAGAATCCAGGCAGCAAAAGTAGGCAGATTGTGAAGGAAAGGGGCAGTGGGCTGTACTTCCCTGGCAAGGGAGATCTTCTGGGGTTTTACACATAAGCCTGACAATTCAGGAGCACTGGGTCCTCTGTCAAGTGCACAGACAAGCTGGGCATGATGCAGATCAGGCCTCAGCTCCAGAACAAGTGGTGATTGCAGAGGCAAACCTCTGTTTTCCCATGGCTGCAGGTAAAGGATGCAGGTGGCTCCATGACCATTCACACCTTCGGAGCCTACTTTGGCCTCACGGTGACACGGATCCTGTACAGACCCAACCTGGAGCAGAGCAAGGACAAGCAGGGCTCCGTGTACCACTCTGACCTCTTTGCTATGATCGGTGAGCCAGCCCTCATCCTGGGCTGCTGCTGCATGGGGAGCACTGGGCTGCACAGGGCTGGTTCCTTCTGTGTCTCTGGGAAAAAATGAAACCAGGATATGGAGTTGAGGAGCTCTGCATCCCAGAGATCTTTCACATTTCAGAGTTACTCAGCTCCCTTCATCAGTGGCTGGGCTGAGACAGTGCCTGGGAAAATAAGGAAGCATTTTGGTTCCCTTTCTCTGCCAGCCTTTCCTGATGCTGGTCTCATCATGTGGGGCATGGATCTGAGGAAGCAGGACTATGGGATGTAATTTCCCCCCGTGCAGAAGAGTTTTGTTTTCAATCCCTGTATTCTCTCTTTTTCCTTTCTCTTCCTCATCCCATCTGCCCCATCCCACCAGGTACCCTGTACCTGTGGATGTACTGGCCCAGTTTTAACTCAGCCATTTCTGACCACGGGGATGCCCAGCACAGATCTGCCATTAACACGTACTGCTCGCTGGCTGCCTGTGTCCTCACCACCATGGCCTTCTCCAGCATGCTGCAAAAGAAGGGCAAGCTTGACATGGTAAGATGGGAGCACAGAGCCCTGCACTGCCCCAGGGACATATAATGAGGTTGATCAAGGGTCTAGGAAACAACTGGCACTCGTGTTCTGCTGAACAGACACAGGGTTTCCGGGATGATGGTGAAACCAGCATCCAAGCAGAAACTCTGAGGCTATATTGAATAAGAAAGTGGGAATGGGTCCTGCAGGGCTTGAAGTGTGGGGTGATGCCCTCCCAAGTCACAGCAGGGACTGGACCTGCTCTTGGACACGTTGCAGAGCCCTTTTTGGCAGCGCTCCCCATCAAACAAGGCCTGCGCAGCAGCTCGTGAGCAATCAGGGGGCTGATTTGTACGTGTTGGATGTGTGGGTGACATGTCTCTGTGACAGCAGAGCTTGCATGACACACGGGTGAGACAATTTCCATCTCATCACAACTCCCCACCCATATCTGTGGATGCAAAGAACGTGTGTGGTACGGGGAGTGGGAGTCTCTGTGCACCTGTGCTACAGACAGAAGCTGCCTGTTCTTTTCTTGTTTTTCACCACCAAGTAGGAAAATGGGCCCTGATATTTCCTCTGGAAACATTTTCAGAGCTGATTCTCCCGCTTTGCCATTTGCACCATCCCTGAGCAATAGCAATGTCCCTGAGATGCCAAGGCAGAGTGGTTGCCCCTGCAGGTGCACATCCAGAACGCCACGCTGGCCGGCGGCGTGGCCGTGGGCACCAGCGCCGAGATGATGCTGACCCCATATGGCTCCCTCATTGTTGGCTCCATCTCTGGCATCGTGTCCACGCTGGGCTATGTCTACTTCACGGTGAGTGCTGCTCGAGGGGCCTGCAGCCCTGCTCCTGCTGAGGAGACCAGAAATGGATTCACTTCCCTTTGACAGTTCCTGCTTTCCAGAATCCCTTGTGAGATGCACTTCTGTCTCCTTTTACTGGCCCAAAATGCTCAGGAAGTTTCAGACTCCCAACAGGAGCGTGTTTGGAGGATATGTTGTTAGTTTGTCTTGAGCTTGGCTCACATCTTTGTCTATGAGCCTTTAGCTCTTTAATGGGACACAATATCTCTCCTCTTTCTCTGCTTATCCCAATCCTCCATGGAAGAAACTAATCCTTTCCAGGGCCACACTCAGTTCCCTGATCTCTCTTTACTTCCCTCCCCCTCAGCCTTTTTTGGAGTCTAGGTTGCACATTCAGGACACATGTGGCATCCACAACCTCCATGCCATGCCAGGCCTTATTGGGGGCATTGTGGGGGCCATCACAGCAGCTGCAGCCACGGAAGATGTGTACGGAAAGGAAGGGTAAGATGGCTTGAAAATCTTCCCTGAGAACAAATTTTACCTGAAGCTCTGTGGGCTGGGAGCAGGGAGCAAATAACAGCCTTTGTTAGTAGCTCAGAGTTGCCCAGAGTTATCCCTCAAAAACATGGGTTGTGCCGACTGTGTTGGGCTTACTGAATTGTAGCCTCATCTTATGCAGCTGACTCTTGGTGGCCTCATAAAGTGAGCCACAGTCCTGCTGTTTGGCATTATTCTGGGCCACAGTGGGGAGGGAAGTGCTTCTCCCTCTCCCCTGCATTGTTTTGTGGGGTCAGGTAAGGCTAAAAGTCTGAATTACAAAGAGGTTGTTTGTATTTTGGGCTCCTCCTTGGTAAAGCTTTGCCAGGGGTCAGAGAAAGAAGTGAGCGGTGTTTTGGTCATTGGTCCACTGCAGAAGAGGGATGGGGCCAGGGAAGAGCTCCAAAAAGAGCAAGGCACCATGGTTCCTCCGGAGCCGGGGAATTCCTCCTGCCAGGGGCAATCATCACCATTTCTGCCCTCGGCAGGTTCATCAAGGCGTTTGACTTCACGGGCGTGTACCAGACGCGGACACCCAGCATCCAGGGAGGCTTCCAGGCAGCCGGCATTGTGGTGTCTCTGTTGATGGCATTCGCTGGGGGAGCCATCGTGGGTAAGCCGGAGGGCAGCGCGGAGAGGGGAGGATGCTGAAACAGCGGCCGGATCCATGTGCCGGATCCATCCTGGGGGGACGGCACCGAGAGCAATGCCAAGGCTGCGTTTGCCCCCTTGGGTGGAGCATCCCGCATCCCCCCGTGCCCACCGCCCTGCCCTCCTCCTCTCAGGGGGCATCCTGAAGCTGCCCATCTGGGGGGACGCCGCGGCCGAGAACTGCTTCGAGGATGGCATTTACTGGGAGGTGAGCGGGCCGGGAGCGGGAGCGGGGCGGGGGGCACGAGATGGCGCTGTCGGCCCGCGGCCCGGCCCGGGGGGCTCAGGGGGCTCTGCCGCAGGTGCCGGAGGACGAGGAGAGCGACGTGTACCACATGCACAACCCCGACAAGCCCGCCTCGCCCTGAGCCGCGCCCGGCCGCCCGCCCGCCTTCCCCGCCGCAGCACCGAGCCCCGCTGCCGCGCCGAGGGATCGTCCGTGCCCCGTGACCGCGGGGCTCTGCCCTGCTCTGCCGCTTTTGTAACGAGCTGCTGTGGATATAATAAAGTCGTGTTCTTCTTTCCAGGCCTGTGCTGCCGTGTGTCAGCGGCCGAGCGGGGTGGGATGTGCGGCACAGGGATGGGAGGTGCGGCACAGCAGCTGCCAGGAGGGCTCTTGGCTGCCCGGGGTAAAGCAGAGGCGCTGGGACACTCCTGGTGCCCTGGGGACAAAGTGGAGGCATGAACAGTGGCAGCACACGCGGGGTGTATTAGACAATGTATTAGATAATGCAGTCTGGGGAGATACTTGGTTTGGGAGCTGGCACCTGAGATGACAGCACCCACGGTGGGAAGCACAGGCTGGGCTCGTTCTTTTTGAGGAGGGGATGCTGGGGTGCAGCAGCTGAGCCTTTACTCCTCCTGCCATCCACGTGGGGGTGAGGGCCATTGTGAGTCCAGCTACACGATGGCCTCTGCCATCACCTTCCCTTGAACTGCCCTACTGAGGCCTCCATCAGTTCCTTGGGAACCTTGTTTGCATGTACAGCACAGGCTGGCAGCACCCTTTCCTCCTTTTTGGCTTCATCCATTTCTTTCAGCGTCATCAGATGGCTCTTTCCACTGGCTGGTGCTATTCTGATGGGAAGAAGACAGCCCCCATCTCTTAGCTGGACCATCAGGCTTCAGCCAGAGTTGGAGGACACAGGGATGAAAACCAGGCCTAAAATCCTGCATGTTTTCCAGGGTGATATAATATGAGGAGTAGGAAAGGAAAAGGGAGGGGGGAAAGGAGGTAGGAGGGCTGATAGGTCTCTTCACTGCATCTAGCTGTAATTCTTACACCTGAGGGGGGGAGTCAAAAGTAGCTATTCACATCCCCTTGGGATATGACACCCTCATTTTCCATGCTGGGTAAAGACAAAAACCCTTTACAACACATGTTTCTGGAATTTGTCAGCGGCTGCCAGCAGCAGCATGTTAATTAAATGTCGGCAAAGATGGAAGCAAGAGGCTCTGCTCTAATTGGACACTTTGCTTGGTGGAGCTGAAAAACATTGTGACAGAGGAGGAGGTGCCGAAACACTGTGTTCCCCTGCCATGGCGGGGACGGGGACAGCCAGGCACGGAGACGCTCTCTCCTGTACACACATTGCCTCCATTTGGCCTGAAACAACCTCACCATTGAAAAAAGAAGAGTAATAAAAGGCCTAAAATCCTCCACAGCATTGGTTTCCAGCACGGCAGCAGTGTGGCAATGCAGGGAGAGGACTGGTTGGCTGAGGAGAAATTCAGAAATATCGTAGCTGGGCCAGCTGGAGCTCCAGCCTGCTTGCCAGCAAGTGGTGTATTGTATATTTCTTTTATGATGGCAAAGGCAGGTCTGACAGGGGTTAGAAATGGTCTCTGGAGAATGATCCCTGCAGAGGCTGAAGCGTACATTGAGCTGCATCCTTTCTCTAAGACAGGGATGGGAAAATGTAGGGCAAGTGTTTTCCCTGTGTTGGGATCTGCTGAAGGAGGGAGATCTCGTCCCAGCTTCTCTGCACTGGGAAAGGGATGTAACAGCCATTTTCTGCTCACAGCTTCATCCAGAGAGTGCATCAGAAACCACCTCAGGGATGTTTACTGACAGGCACCACAGACAACGTCATTTCAGAAAGGGAGTCCAAAACTTTTCCCCACAAGTCTGCAAAATATAAAAGCAGAAGCAGACCTTTTGGGCACTGCATTTCCTCCTGTGTGACGGGACTGGTGTCCCTTCATCCCACACCATTTAAGTTCACCATTATCTGTGTCCCAGATAATCCGTGTGTCCAACCTTCATGGCCTCTGGTCTTTCCTCGCAGCAGCTCACCAGGGTCCATATAATGCCAAAGACTGGGTGACCCTCATTGCTTCAGCAAGGTGGCCAACCCACATCTCTGATGACAGCTCTGTGAGCCCTGGGAGATGGTCCTGTCCCATGTGCACATGCTGGAAGAAGCAGCCCTGACCCAATTCCCCGGCCCTCTGTGCTGTGCCTCCTCCTCGTGGGAAGACCCCTAAATTGCCGGGGCTGCTGGGCAGCGAAGCGTTTTATTGCCTGTGCTCTGGCGGGGCTCAGTCTGGTCTCAGTGCCTAAATCACTCGCTGGGGCTGGCCGTGCAGCTTTAATTCCCCGGCAAACAATGCCGGGAGCGGGCTGCCGTGTTTGAAGTGCGGCCGCGGCCCCAGCGGTGGACGGAGGGTTTCTCAACGGGGGAGCGTGGAGAGCAGAGGATTGGGCTGCTCCAGCAGGCGGGAGAACATGTGAGAAAGGGGCTGGAGATACTCGCGGGGATTAGGTGGTACAAATTGGCTGGGAAGCACCGGAGCCATTGACCAAAGTTGTCCTGGGGCAGGTTCCCATGGGGAGGGGGGGTGGCTGAAACAACCTGCCTTCAAGGAGGCTGGAAGGCCCAGCCTGGCTGCTAATCCCCTGGGATCTCTGTGGCATGGAGCAGAAAAGAGGTTAAAAAAAAGGGAAAATCTCATGTAAAGGTGGTGGTTTCCCCAAGGGGATGATGTTAGAGAGAGAAGGGAGGAGGTGGGGGAAGGAACAGCATAGTTTAATCCCTCTTTTAATAGGCAGGTGGTGGGCTTTGCTCGCACTCCTGCTCCTGCAAGCTGCTGCAGAGATTTTGGCAGAAGGCCTTGCTCACCTCTGCTGTCCCCCACTCTTGGTGGAGAGGGGCCCCATCTGTGGATCTGCCTGGGACAAGGGGGTTTGCCTGCTTCCTACAGCTGTGCCCATGTGTGTGCTGGTGTGCACGGGTGCACCTACATGGTGTCAACCCCAGATTTGGGCTGAAATGGGCTCATTGCACACCCCAGCCACTGGCCGCTGCGTATCTGCTGCTGGCGGTGTGCCCACATGTACAAAGCCACACATCCCCATGCCCTCCTTCACCTTGCACAGGTGGCACACTGAAAGGCACGCTGCAGGTGATGCTTACATGCTGTTTGCTGTGGTGCCACCGTGCACATCGTCCCACCTGTGCCATGCACACCCAGCCACCTTTGGGCCAGCATGTCCAGGCCCGGCCTGCCCATGTGTACAAAGCCACACATCCCCACAGCCATGCCCTCAGCCTTTTTGACCTTGCACAGGTGGCACACTGAAAGCCACGCTGCAGGTGCTGCTGCTGATGTTCACACACTGTTGGCCGTGGTGTTACCTGTGCCATGCACACCCAGCCACCTTTGGGCCGGCGTGTCCAGGCCCGGCCTCGTAAGCCGTGCTCCAGCCCCTCTGAAGGAGCGCTGTAAATTGTAATCAGATTAGGGCAGCCGGTCGCTTAGGGCCCTTGAAAAGGGCATACGTCCCCTCATCAGTACCTAGCATTGAGTCGCACAAAGGGTCTAAGTAACTCGGCAGGGGTCGGGCCCTCTGGAGCGCAGGGGAGGGGGCTCGCCTTTCTTTTCTCTCTGTCCCTTGTAATTATGTCAATTTGCTAGCCAAATTGTTTGCTTGAGTGGACAGTGGGGGCTTGCCCCCCTTCACACCTCCCCCCCACCCCTAACCCCATTCATGTGCTAATGTGGGAAGGAGCACGGCCTCCTGACTTTGGGAGGTGGCCGTCAAGGAGCAAAGCACAGGGGGGCATGGGCCAGGAGCCCCCCATTTATGTGCCCATGGATGCCTTGGCCTTGCAGCCCCGATGAACAGGGCTCTCCTGGTTACTTTACCCCGTGGCAGGGCGTGCAATGGCCCAGCAGCCCCAGGCAGCCCTGGCTATCTCTGGCCACCCCTCACCTGTGCCACATGCCCTCCTGGGCCACGGCATCCCCAGGGCCAGGAGCCTTGCCCTCTGCACTGCGGTTTCCCCGGCACACCTCCCCACCCACTCACCTCCCAGCATTTGCATATATTCTGCCCGCAAATCCTTGTCAAGGGGACCCTCTTTATTGCCTGTATAGATCACAGGGTGTTAGTTAAGGGGCTTCTTTGTATTGCCTCAGACAGCTGGGGTCATCAAAAGTCCTGTGGTGGGAAGGAGAGACAGGAGGAGGGGGGAAGCTCTGACAATACAGACTGAAGGATTAAAGGAGCATATAAAGTTCCTATTGAGTGAGACAAGAGGCTGTTCACTCCCAAGATTGACAGCAACCAGGAGGCGATTCCCAACACAATGTCCAATTAATTCTCTACCCTCTTCGCTGCCGTCTCCTCCTCCCTCCTCTCCTGGGCTGGGGCATGAGCAGGGAAGGGCTGAAGCTAAGATCCTTGAGAAGGTAATTAATTATTCCTGACTAAGAGGAGCTTGCTGAGGTGATGGCCAGTCCCCAGGCTCACTGGGCATCCATCCCCCTCCTACAGGCTGCCATCAGTTTGGGCCACTTCAGAGTAGTTTTCCTCTCTATCACAGAGCTGTCCCACCTAAGGTCCATCTTCATGGTATGTGCTGGACAATAACCTGGGCTACTGCTGAGCCTGGAAGAGAAAGATTTAGGGCTAAAGCCAAGCTGACAGTGGAATGCAGTGAACAAGGCAGCAGGAGGAAAGCCAGGGAGCAGGGCAAGGTGCATGACCAGGATGTCTGGGCATGCAGAGCATCTGGGGAGAGGCAGAGCAGCATGTGCCAGGCCTGGGGATCAGATTTTACCTGTGTGTGCAGTGGCAGTGGTTAAAGTAGGTCCACCTATCCTGATTTTGTAGCGAGAAGTGGGTTTCTGGCAGTGAGGGTGCATTGCCACTGTTCCCTGGGCTAGCCACCCACACTGGCCCTAGTGCTAGCCATAGCAGGACACATAAGAGATATTGTAGGATATTGCATCTCTTTGATGTACCCCATGTAGAGGAGCAGAATCTGGGCTATCATGTGAAATTTCTGCAAGCCCAGAGGGAGGAAAGCACCTTTCTCTGAGCTGGCCATCTTTTCCTTGGTACTCTCTGTGGCAATGAGGC